TTTTATCTTCAGTAATGAGTTGTTTACACATTTCTGGCCAGGTTGTGCCAACACCACAATATACAAATATCATTTTCGGTATTTCTCTCTTAGCAGCTGTAGGATGTAATTTTTTCTGTACAAATTCCTCAACTTCTGAAACAAACTTTGATACGTTTTCAACAACAAAACTTTGCGAAGTTTATAGTGACTTCGAAAATGAATTGATGTGCTAGAAAGATCGACCATTGAGACTGTAGGCAAGTTATCTAGAACGAACTGAAGTAGATGGTTGGCTGTATTAAATAATGCACTCAAGTCCTTTGCTGACAAGAGAACATAAAATGTCTTACTAAGGCAGCTTTTCATGTTTTGTACTTGACAGAAGCTCCACTTTCTTCATGGCTCCTGACGATAGCGTGTGCGTTCGTTCCTCCATAACCAAAGCAGTTTACTGAAGCTATTCTCTTCCCCTTGGCATCTGCAGACCACTTCTGAAGACTGTGACTAACTTTCATTTTACAAGCACTAAATGGTATTTGGGGGTTTAATATTTCAGCATGAAGTGAAGGAACGAAAAACCCGTATTTCATCATCAAAAGAACTTTGATCAAAGAGGCCATTCCAGCACCTGCTTCTAAGTGACCAATATTTGTTTTAACTGAGCCTATCGGTATTTCTTCTTCACAATACTTTGAAAAAAAGATCCTAGTGCCATCACTTCTATATAATCGCCAATTGGTGTCCCTGTCCCTGAAAAGTACACTTTCTCATTTAAGAATAAAAAATAAGAAGAGGCTTAAGGACAATGATGCTCACCTGACTAGACATGACCCTTCTTTTTTCACATGATTTTACCCTTCTTTTCGTTCCGATTAAAAATAGACATCATATTTTGGTAAGATTCTAGTCCTGAGGGTCATAAATTTAACCAAACAGCAGGAGGATGTACCACTTTGACAATCATGGTTTAGCTGTTCTTGAGAAAAAAAACTTTTTTGTAGTAGTACATTGTACAATTTGTAATAGTGATTATCAGTTGGAGGTCCATTCTAATCCAAGGATACATAACAATAAAAATTATTTTCATGCACGTTTAAATGTTTTATATTATAATGATTCAGTGTTGCTCTGCTATTTGTGAAAAGTATAATTTCTGATGTATTCCTATTTAAAACTCTGATCACCACAGGGAGAAAAAAAATTCATTCAATTGAAGTGGCACTTATTTGGGTTTCTTGATATTATTACCACACATCATAGCCCTGCTGTTCTTGAGATGATAGTTTTCAGAGATTTAAAAGTTGATCTGAGTATATGTACGCAAATGTATGACCATGTAAAAATGTCGTAAACTTTTTAAACAAGTTTTTCTCCAGAGCCACAGGACCAATTTCATAATTGGGGCAAGCTTTTGTACAAGGGAGAATTATTAAGAAATAAAAAAAAAAAGTAGGTTCATTTAAAATCCTCTAAAGAACCGCTGAGAAAAAGATGACATTATGAAAATTTAAGTTTGTACACAGCGGTTGGGTCGGGCAGTTATAAGCTACAGAACTGTAGCTCTCCGAATAAAATAATATTGACATATCAGAGAGCTACAGTGCCACCCATTGAAACAAGAGGCCCATGGGCCGCATCGCTTATCTGAGTAACTTTGGCCATGCTATTTTTTTTTACAAGATTTCCCCTTTGTAATACCTATAATGATCCTGTCCTACCCCCAGGGTCATTTATTGGAGAATGTAGAATCACACTACCCCAAGATACTTCAACATTAGTTTCAGCTTTTCTTTCCCAACGGTTCTTAAGAAGATCTTTAAAGAATTTTCCTATATACTTCAATGTAAAACTTGGGGTTCCCTATTGTGGCCTCACCCTACCCGAGGGAGGATGTTTTGAATAATTTAGAATCTACACTACCCAAGAATGCTTCCACATAAGTTTCAGCTTTTCTGACCAAGTGGTTTTGGAGAAGATTTTTAATGCCCCCGTTAAAATTGACCCAGTTGTATTGAGATGAAGTTGAAAATATGAAAAGTTTAAATACGGACGGACAGCTGTATGGACGACGGACAACGGTCGTTCAGAAAAGCTCACTTAATCTTTCAGCTAAGGTGAGCAAAAAAAAAAGTGTATATTTATTGATAAAAAGTGCGCTGTTTCTCGATTTATTTCTTCATATATTTAAGATGTTCCTTACACATTTCTTCACTACTTACACAATTAAATATTCCATGAAATCGTTGTTTATAAACCTGTTGGGTCTGAAATTAAGTCTCTCGAAAATTTCATTTGTTTATTCGACTATTTTTAATCTCAAGACAATTTGATCAAACGCGCATCGGACGTGACTGGTACATAAAGCTGGAAATACAAGTAGTAATAAAATAGTATACAGTTATGGAATGGGTCGAGGGAAATAGCAAATTTATGGTTGCCCGAGGTAGGAAACTATTTCCCGAGGCGGCGAATTCCATAACTGTTTTATTATACCAAAACAATCATAGGGTGATTTAATTTTTTTTTACCAGATATTCCGACATTTAAAAAAAGTACTATAGAGGCATAAGTTAAGTACAAATGCATACGGTTAAACAGATTGTATGATAAGTAATGAATCGTGTCCTAAAACAATTAAATTATTTTTTAAAAGTATTTTCATTGACATTTCGAGAATAACGTTATCTTCATTTTGCTAGTATTCGAGTATGATTTTGACAACGCATGTCGAAATGTTTTGACGTCATAGTTACATTACTAATAGCATGACGTCACAGACTCGAGATTTCTTGAACGCTCCGCCCACTGAAGATTTTGATTGGTCAAAATTACTAATAAATATTCATGAGGGAGTAGTCCCAAGGAGTAGCTCTGCTTTTCCAGGAGTAGTCCTCGGATGAGTGAAAAATTCTCTTCTCGGGGAAATAGACAGTTTTATGGTATTACTTTTAGGGTGAGTTGGGTTACAATGGATAATAAAGTTTTACATGCCCTAAATGTATGTAGAAAATATTCACACATTAAAATCAGCGATGCCATGCCCATATATAAACTTCGTGTAATGTAGATTTAAATTTGATAAACTCATGGTCTTAGGGGTAGGGTGGAAACACAAGCTACACTTGAAGAATGGAGATTGTGTTGTTACCCCCTCCCCCTTACCAGCTTCTGCGATTTCTTATTAAGCATAAAAACTTATGAATACTAGTAATACATTAATTCTTCCTATTAATCTTTTCTATATCTTTTCTATATTATTATCATTATTATTATTCTTATTATTATTATTATTATATTCTACCACGATTATTGAAAACATCAACATTAGCAGTAAAACAGGAACATGAATTTCTTATTGTATAAATTATTCATTTTAACTGATCAATACATATTATGAACAAATTTGTAATTTAAAAAGGCTGTTTTTAATGTAACGAAAGCTCAAATCGTCTGCATTCTATACACAGGTGAGCAAACAAATTTTACCTCTGGTGTTAAATGAAACAGGGTAATCGAGACATGGTGACCTAATTCGTTTCTCTATAGAGGAAACGACTATCCGTAGTTTAGCGATTGTAGTTATACACTGGTAGAATAGAAATGAAGTCCTTGTTGTCGTGAAATACGCAGAATAACCTCCTCGGTCTCGAAATGCTGTTTAAAATATAAAATGCCTCGGCTAACGCCGCAGTGTTTTTCTTTCAAACAACATTTCTCGACCTCGGAGTTTATTCTGCAACATTCACGGAAACGCGGACTTTCTTTTTTAAATAAACGAATAATAATAAGTTATAATTATAATAATAATAATTGAATAGGTTATATAGTAAATAAAATAAATGATTTCCTATCTTTCCTGTATTACAACATCTGATATCGTTTTTGCTTTTGTATAGTTTTAGAGATTTGCTCTATATGGTATATCCACTACTAAAGGCAGGAAACAAAAACACAGGGTGTCCTGCTTCCAGGGAAATTTTCAACGTCAATACTATACTGACAGTCAAAAGAAACGCAACATCCTCAGGGGGGGGGGATTATATACAGGTTATTACTAGGTACCCAAAAAGTCTTTAACTTTGCCAAATCAATTATTCAACGGTTGAATGATTTTCATTACATTACCAGAAGTTGCTTTTAGCCCTCTTACAGAAATCAAAATTTTGCATTTTTAATAAAATATTTAACAAAATTTTGGGTTTTCAAGGTTTTGTAGCTGTTAATCATAAGTATTGTACTAAAATCCTGGGAAAAAATCCTTTCCTTTCGGGATGTGATGCCTATATTTCCTTAAAATGACTGATAGCATTTCATTGCTAATGCTGGAAATGGGTTTTTGCATTTCTTTTGACTGTCATTATACTTAACCAATTGAATTAATGCAAGATGAAATTCGGGGAGATATTGCTTAACTATCCTCTTATAGTCACAATCGGTTAAAATGATTTATCTGTCCTGAATTCGCGTTAATATACATGATTTTGTCTAATTTCTCTTCACTGGCATCAAAACAGGAGATGTTGCTAGTACATGTAGGTTGTAGAATATTTCCAAGGGGTTTCGATTAGCTATATCGGGAAATTTTATTTAGCAAAATATTTAAGTAGTACAAGATGACCTCTGTTAATCAACAATCTACATACGAATGCATAAAAATCTTATCCTCAAGAACGGCGAAGCCATGATCAGTCACATGTATACAAAAGCATATTCCGTAGTTAAGTAAATTCAAGTCTGTTCAAATTATGATCCCGAGGATAGGGTTGGGCTACAATTGGCATTAAAGATTTACTTAAGAAAATGTAGGAAAAGAAATCTACTGATAAAGATCAAGAAGGATCATTGTTAGAAAGGTAATGTCGTGTCCCATAAGCCTTTCCATAACCAATGGTTTGAATACGGAATTTCCTGATTATTTCTGTTCTTATGTTAAGCCTTAAGTCCTTTGCATAAAATTTTTATTTGCTATTTATATTTGTTGTCAATATTAATATTTCTTTTCCTCCTTACCATGTGCTTCAACGTATTGTACAGGACGGGACGTCTTGCTTTCTTTGAAAATTTTCTAACAAACGCTCTTGCTGTTTGCCAGAAGGGGATGTAATTGGAGTACTCATATGGCCATCCTGTTTCAGCTTCGTATAGATTGTCCCCCATATCTTGTTTTTGTCGTGGATTGCCTTTTAGAAAAAAAGAATTATTCCATCTCGCAAATTTGTAAAAATACAAAATAAAAAATGTTCAACTTACGTTTGTAAGTCTTTTTAACAACACAACACCACATCCTTCCCCACGGGCGTATCCATCTGCCTCGACTGAAAAGGTGTGACATTTCCCTGTTGGCGAAGCCATTCGTGCGCATGACAAGCCAATATAAGTATCTGGATCTAGAATGACATTGACTCCACCGCAAATAGCCATCGATATTTCACCTGTTTGATATAGAATGAATAGTATTTTGTTTTCTAAATTGGATAAAATATCACTTCCAAATGATTTTGATGACATGCATTTTAATTTCTGGATATTTTCAATTAGAGATTTATTATATACTATCTTTTCCCTTCAAAGATGAAGCATACAATCGTCATGTATGTCCCACTTGATGCACAGTGTATATGTTTGTCTAATGTAGCCTTTTTCAATTCTGTTTTATATAAATTTTTTAAATACCGTGATATTTAGTGAGGTTCTATAGTTCGTCACAGCGTAGTATACTGTGGTTCGAAACGCCGATAATTCACTGAGAAATCTTTCACATACATGTACAAGGTGTACATTCCATTAAAGATGGAATGTATACTTTTTCAAGCGACTAGGGCTGATAAGTTATTCTTTATTTTCATTTCATCTGTTGCACAGGATACAACATAGAAATTGTTAAGTAAATCATAACGTCTTTTGACAAGTGACGTGCGAAACTTTGAGGGATGAATCATACACTTTGATAAAGGATCAAAGATCGGATTTTAATCTAGATTATTCAAATGAACACATTTTGAAGATTTTTTAAAAAAAATAAATCAATAATATGTATTAACTAGAGCAAAAGTTTGTATGTGGATGGGGTTGGATTAATTTAAAGTTCAAGAAACTATCCATCTTTATGATCAAAGCTTTGTTATGTTACAAAATATTCACCATTTTTCAATGCCTGCATTGCTGTATCAATTGCCACCATTGAAGAAGAACAGGCTGTGTTAATCGTCAATGCAGGTCCTAAGAGGTTGTAGAAGTAAGCCACTCTTGCAGATAGAATACTGGTATCAACACTTGTTACTGAAGTATTCCTGCTGTTTTCATTAGTAACACGAAGTAAACTACCCCAGTCATTATTCAGTCCTCCTGCAATAATCATCGGACCACTTATTTATGAGCCCCAAATACTTTTATCATATCACATGAAACACTTAGCATACAGATTCAAATCAAACTGAATCGGGGGATATATGACCTGCCTCGCTTTGTGGACAAATATTCTGAGACAATAAAAACAAGAGGCCCATGGGCCACATCGCTTACCTGAGTAACTTGGGTGATGCAGTTTTTACCCCGATTCCCCCTCTTGCTATACCTATCATGCCCCACTACCCCCTTCCCTTTAATGATTTTAAGAATTTAATATCTACACTACCCATGCTCCCATATAACTTTCAGCTTTTCCCGGCCCAGTGGTTCTTGAGAAATAGATTTTTAAAGATTTGTTCTATATATTTCTATGTAAAACTTGGATTCCCTATTGTGGCCCCGCCCTACCCCCGGGGGTCATGGTTTTAACAATTTAATATCTACACTATTCAAGGATGCTTCCACATAAGTTTCAGCTTTCCTGGTCCAGTGGTTCTTGAGAAGAAGATTTTTAAAGATTTGTTCTATATATTTCTATGTAAAACTTGGATTCCCTATTGTGGCCCCGCCCTACCCCCGGGGTCATGATTTTAACAATTTAATATCTAAACTATTCAAGGATGCTTCCACATAAGTTTTAGCTTTCCTGGCCGAGTGGTTCTTGAGAAGAAGATTTTTAAAGATTTGTTGACAGTTCTATATATTTCTATGTAAAACTTGGATTCCCTTTGTGGCCCCGCCCAACCCCCGGGGGTCATGATTTTAACAATTTAATATCACACTACCCAAGGATGCTTCCACATAAGTTTCAGCTTTCCTGGCCCAGTGGTTCTTGAGAAGAAGATTTTTTAGTGACCCCACCCTATTTTTGTGTTTTCTTGATTATCTCCCCTTGTAAGGACTTCGCCCTTCATTTTAACAATTTAAACTCCCTTTAACCTAAGGATGTTTGTACTAAGTTTGGTTAAAATTGGTCCATTGGTTCTTGAGAAGAAGTCGAAAATGTGAAAAGTTTACAGACGGACGGACAGCTAGACAGACAGACAGACGGACGGACGGACGACGGACAAAAAAGTGATCAGAAAAGCTCACTTGAGCCTTCGGCTCAGGTGAGCTAAAAACTGTGACATTGACCTTAAAATTTGAGATTATTTGAAAATCAGGTGGATGATGTTTTAGAGGTCCTTATTTGTTTTGCCCCCGAATTACCGGGTATATTGATTCAATGGATTTTTCAGCTTGATTACTGTTGTTACCTTCCTATTGCATGCCATAAATGATTTCTGGATTTACATTAAAAGTGTCTACACGTAAAAAAAATCAGAGGTTGGATTAGTTGTCACGAAAGGGTAAGCATATTTTGCATCCCTATTAAAATACTTTTACTTTAAAAAATCTTGTATAATCCTCTTATTCATATGCCTAAACAAAAACTTGACCATACAAGTGTTTCAATATTTCTGAATCTGGTAAAAATACACTTGCTTATTATTTGTATATTACTTGCTTCCTACATGAAGATTCTTACAATCACAGAAGATGTCTTTATATTTTTAAATTTACAATAAACTCAACATGGTCCAGCAGTAATGTCAGAGCCCTTACCTCAATGTTCAATTTTTTGGAAGAAGCAAACTTGCCCATGATAAAAATGCTCTGTTTACTTCACACCGAGAGGAAAAAATATTTTCAGGAAAATTGTTACTATAGAATCAACAGAGCCCCTCATTCTTTCAACACCAGAACTCCTTACCATAGAGGCATTATTGTATTTCTGCTAAATAATGCAATTCCACTCAACAGAGTCGTGCTTCAAAATCAAAACTCCGAACTAAGAAGCTATGTATCTTATAATTAAGAAGAGACATTCTACCTCATCAAAACCATGACATTAGATTTAATTTACTAAATATATTGTACCTGGGAGGGGGGAGAAGATATTAAAAGAACATACATTTTTCAATATCTTATCTATAGATCCCTGCTCTAACATCAAAATCCTCAGCCAGGAGTAATAAAAATCTCAGTTTTGGAAGAAGCATTATTATGATTAATTATCATAACCATGCACTTAGTTTTAAACTCAGGAGCTGAATACATGATTTCCCAACAAATTATGCATAATCAAAAAAGCATCGCCTTAATACCACTTAAACCAGATCCCCTGGCATAGAGGGCAGGAAATGTACAATCCTGGGAGAGGAGCTATTTTCCATCATACGCATGCACTTTGTTTCTTGAATATCCACAAGAACAGAAGATTTTCAAGGAAAAATACATTTTTGGAATGTAAACCATATTGATCCCCCTCCCCCTTCAACATCAGAACCTCTGAACCTGAGGCCAGAACTTACACATTTTGGAACAAGCATCCATGTTCATCATAAACTCCCTAACTAGTTTGTCTGCTAAATATCCCGGGGGTAAAAACGATTTTTGAGAAATTTTGCATTTTTACTACATGATTATAAGAGTCCCTTTTGACTCTAGAGTCCTTGACCCTAGGGCCATGAATGCCCCAAAACTTAGCTCTTATTACAAATATGTCAACAGTTTGTCTGCATGATCGCCGGAATGAAGAATTTCAAGATTTTTAAGGAAGTACTAATTTTGATGGTTTTTGCCCCATCCCTCAAGCCCCAAGAGGTAGGGACCATGGAATTCACAATTTTCATACTCTTTTTTTCATTAAAGCTATATGTATATATCAAAATCGTCTAAAATTGGTTCGCAACGTGTTTGGGGTTCCTCATTCCATATTCCGCATATTCACACATGCGTACCTATTATAACATTTTAACATGGCTAAAGAAAAAAACTTCGATAATTTTAAAAGACTGAAAATACACATGTAGAGGAAAACAAAGTCGGTCCATGCCAATTTTCCGAAAAAATTTATCGATGAGAGATTGCCATGATCGTTAGTCGAGGAAGAAACGGGATCAATTAAATGGAACTGCCCTGAAAATAATTTTAACGTTTAATCGTATAATTTGATGATATCCATCTCGGCAATATAAAGAAACGTCAATATATGTACTTTAAATTATAACAAGCAAATTCAAAGAATTATGGTCCCCCGCTTTCGGTGTCTTTGTGGGCGAGATGTTATTCTTTTTGACATATTATGTCAAAATGAACGCCCTATCAAATGTCATATCACCGAAGTTGATTTTTTTTTAGATAAGGTCAATCATGAAGGTCAAGATCAAGGGGTAAAAAAACAAAGCATCCTCGGAAATATTTTGTCACAAGTAATGCACATGCCAAATATTCCCTATCAATATAAGGAACATGATGTGTTTGTA